TGAAAGCCGGAGTAGGTATCCATAAAGCTCATCAAGGCGTGACCGGCTGTAGAATCGACCAGGCTGTCGATCTTTGGAAGCGGGTAACTGTCTTTTGGACACGCCTTGTTGAGGTCTGTGTAATCAACACGCATGTGCCAGGTCCCAATCGGTTTCTTAACAAGGAAGACATTGGCCACCTAGTCGGGAAAATTACAAGGCCGGATGAACCTGGCGTCTAGCAACTTTTTTACTTCGGCAGTTGCCGCCTGACTTCTTTTCTCGCCGTGGTTTCTTTTCTTTTGCCGGATGGGCTTCTTTTTGGGGTCCACGGCAAGTTTGTGGACAGCGAGATCCGGGCTGACGCCTGACATCTCTTCCACTTCAAAGGAAAAAATGTCTTTGAATTTCTTCAGCAGAAGGTGCAAGTCTGCACCCAAAGTAGCATGAGCAACCGTCCCAACCTTTACAGTACGTTCCTAACGACTGTCATCCAGAACGAGATCAATGCTTTCACCAGCCGGTTGGGGACGGAGCTCATCTGACCGTTCACCGGTCAGTGATTGCTATTTTTTCTCTTTCTTTACCTCCACCAGCAGAGGTGCCTTTTTTTTCTTTCCGGCTGCTGGTGGGGCAGGTGTTGGATCGGCATCCTTGACATTGTCAAGGCCAAGTGGTTCCTGACCGCCTGGGCCCCAGTGTCTCTGACGGCTGAGAGATAGCACTCCCGGGCCGTCTTCTGATCCCCATTTAGGGAACCAACGGTGCCGTCATCCCTCTCATACTTGATGAGCATGAGAGACAGGATGATTACTGCCTTGGCTACGTTGAGGGTCGGCCGGCCTAGGATAATGTTGTAGGCGGTTAACTCCTCAACGACCAAGAATCTGACGACAATATGTCGTCCCTAGCCTTTCTCTCCCCGGATGGGCAAGTCAATTCTTCCGGCTGGGTAGACCATCCCACCCCCAAAACCAACCAAGGGGTGGGTGACCGGATGCATGCTGCTGACATTGTATTTCAGCTTTTGCAGGCACCGGAGGCTGATGATGTCTGATGAGCTGCCGGTGTCAATAAGGATTCGTCCAACCAGCTGGTTGGCAACCTTACATTCAATGACGACCGGGTCATCATGCGGACGGCGGACATTGCCCCTATCCTTCTCAGTGATCAAGACGTCTGGGAAGGAGGTGCTTGCAGACGCCTGCTCATCATCATCCTTGTCCATCTTTCGAAGATGGCTCTTGGTGCCCCGGATGGTAGGGCCACCACAGGTAGGGGTGGCAATTCGGGTCAGCAGGTCGGGTTCGGGTCAGATTTCGGGTTATGCTTAGAAACTATTAAAAATAGTGTAAAACTTAATATTATTACGAAATATGAAATTTGGGTCAAATCGGGTCGAATTCGGGTTGTTCGGGTTCGGTTCAGGTCGGGTTCGGGTCTCTCTCAGTAACTTCGGATCGGGTTCGGGTCGGGTTTTCGTGTCGGGTCAGGGTTTGCCAGCCCTAACCACAGGAGAACCCGCCTGCTATTGTGTAGACCGGCTCCTTGTCGGTATCCGAGCTGGAGGACTGACCCTTATTCTTCTTCTTTGCCCCGGCTGGGGACTTGGAAATGTAGGACTTCAACATTCCTTTGTCAGACAGTCCAACGCTCTTTGAAGGCTGAAGCAGTCGTTGGTGTCATGGCCAACTTCCTCATGGTATTGGCAAAATTTATTTTTGTTCCTTGATTGAATGGAACTTTTCATTGGATTCGGCTTCTCTAGGGACAGCCGGTCCTTAATTTCCATGAGAATGGAATTTCAGTCCTTGTTAAACTCGTACTTGGGGACGTACGGTTTAAACTCTTTCTTCTTCTTCTGGGACGGCTGGTCAGAATCACTAACCGCCCAAATTTCTTTTCTCTTCTTGCTGTCTTCTTTCTTTTTGGCCGGCTGGGCTGGCCGGCTGTCTTTCTGCTTGTCGGACCTCTTTGAGGGCCGCCTATAAGGTGAAAGCCCCTTTTCTGACTAGGTCGAACTTAAAAGTCGACCGGTCTCTCAAACCTTTGAAAAAGTCTGTAAAAGCTACCTCATCAGACAGTCCTTGAATCTGAATTCTAATCAGATTGAACCGCCTGACATAGGAGCGCAGCCCTTCTCTCCCCCCCCCTGCCTAATGGTGCTCAAGTCCAAGCTTGTTTTCTTAGCAGGGATGTTCATTGAGAAGTTGGAAGCAAATAGGAAGGCAAGCTTCCTAAAAATGTCAATGCACCCCGCTGGCAGATTACCAAACCATTGTTGGGTGATGCCCTTCAATGTAGCCGGGAAGCAACGACACCAAGTGGCATCATCCAACCCCTGCAGATACATGAGGTTGGTATAAGCCATGAGATGGTCTTCCGAATTGGTGGTACCGTCATAGGTACCAACCAACACATTCTTAACCTTGGACGGCTGTGCTGCCTCGGTTATCTCCCGGGCGAACGCAGAAGGTTGTTCTCCCAGGCGAAGCAGGCGAAGCTGCCAGTCCAGTGGTTGGACATTTTGGTATGCCGCCTGATCTCCAAAGAGGGTCGGCTGCATGAAATGAGGGGGATACTGGCCGTAGACCTGAGTAGGCACATACGGTACAGCTCCAATCATATGAGGGCCAGAATGGACGGTATTACGCCTGTCTGACTCTCATGCAAGGAAGATGCATTCCCGGCAGAGGTATTGTTAAAGCTGTCAGGAAAGTTCGACGTGGAAGCCGACTCAGACAACTGCTGATTTCTCTTCCGGTTGATGATCTCCCGGGCATCAAGAGATGACTTCTTACTTCTCACCGGCTGTTGAGTCCGGCGGGAGTTATTGTTATTCCCCTTAGGAAAAAGAATTTTGGACCAATCAATGGTCCCGACTGCCTTCTCCTTTGGATGAGGAGTGGGCTGTCGATCTTTGACTGACTTCCCCTTTTCCAGAGGAGTCTTCTTGGCCGACTGACCTCTACTTGGGCCAGCCCGGCTCTGGGTGATCAGCTCTTTAATTTCACCCTTGAAACTTGTCATGAATCTCATGAGCTCGTCTCGGGTGACAGGCGCTGATCCAGCTGCCGTATGGGTTTCTCCTTCCGGCTGCCAGGGGGTCTACTTGCACCCGCCTGGGAGGCACCCCGCTCCAGAGTCTCTCTGGGCCGGATGCGCTTGATTCTGAGAGAGCCGTCCTCGGCTGTAAGGTTTCGACTTGAGGATCTTCATCCTCATGGTCTGTAAAGACTTCTGGATCTTCGCCCAGACGGTTAGGGGGTGGTACAGACTCTTGAACCATCTTCGAGGTACTCTCCCCACATACGGCGCTAAATGTTTTGGGTGTTTTTGTCCCTCGGGAGAGTTGCAACACGAAGACTGATCCGGCGTGAGCTGTACCTGCAAAATAAACGGAGACACCGGTTGGGTGGTGCTCCGCCTCCGACGCACAAGTTAGAAACTTGAAGGGAGAAAAAGGTGCGGAAATTTAGGTGGGGTTCTGCTCGGATTCCAAGCTCAGGATGTCTCTATCAAAGAGTCAAATGTGTAATAAATGGTAAAACGTGCCCTCAAAAAGAGGGACATCTTCCTATTTATAGGGTCTTTGGGATTTGTGCCCCTGATTAGGTCACTAAACCCTAATCATTGGTGGGCTGCGCCGCTTTGCGGCTTTCTCGGGATTTGGGCCTGAAGGCCGCCTTTTTCCCTTAATTTCTGGAGTGACACGTGTCAAGCAGGGATTGGTCCACTTTGGGCCATCATGAGGCTGACACGTGTCATCCTCTGATTGGACCACGTGGCGGGGTAAAATTACCCTAAACAATTTCCATCGTTATTTTGGTGTTAGCCATGTTTGGAACCCCTGTACCCCCTAGCGCATGTTTTCATTGCGTGAATCCCTTGTTAATTGTGTTTATTAGTTATCCTTAGTATTTAAACCTTAAAAAAAAACACCAAAAATATACCCTTTGGCTCTTGTGTTCATGAATTTTATGATTGATTTGTTTCGCTTTCCTTGGAAATGTGACCCTTACTTCATGCTAAATTCGCTTATTTTGGTAGTTTAGGATTAATTTGATATGAGGACTTTAAATGACGATTTCTACAACTATCAAAAGGGCCCCAATTTAAAAGGGGACAATTATTGTTTTTTTTTTTCCTATACTTTATTATTTTTTGTTTTTTTAAAATCTGCAATGCCTTATTGTTTCTAACGCCCAATAATGTAGCAAATCACGGCAATCACGCTCATCATTTTCTTTGAAATTATTTTCCTCTCTTTATTCAAGCTTACATATTAATTCCTACCACTTTCTAAATTCCTCCATCAATTCAAATTAAGGGCTCGTTTGGTTCATTAGGAAAGTGAAAATTCCAATGAAATTACAATTTGTAGGAATTAAATTCCTTTATCAAAATCATGGGAATTCATGAAATTTGTTTGGTAAAAAATCGAGGAAGTAAATTCCCATAAGAATTGTAACTTACTGGGGGGTTTGGGTATGTTAATTCCCATGTTTTTAGGGAAGTCAAAATTCCCATGAATTGGCATTGCCTCCATTTTTTACTTTTTTTGTGTCAACCAAACAACAAGTCCAAAATGAAATACATGGGAATTTTGAATGCCCATAAGATATTAAGCCAACCAAACAACACCTAATTTTATCATAATTACATAAATTCAATTCCATGGAAAATTGTATCGCCTACTTCTCCTTTTAACGATTTTCAACGGAAAAAAATATATAGATATTCAGTCAAATTCAAATGATTATTCTTCATAACAATGGCAATGAACAATAAATTTTGATTTTCCACACTTACTTTTATCAAACAGCTAATTATTTTCCTTTATATATATGTGGGTTATCTTCTACCATTGTTCAATCATCTAATTCCCAATTGATACACTTACACATCCAACAAAAACGAATTGGCAGTATTGCTTTGAAATCTTTGTGAATTATTGATTTGAGTGATTTATTCTTATAGTTTTTTGCCCATCAATTTAATGTAAAATTTTGATGTTTTTATTTTTCTGGTTTTGATAATGTCAATTGAAGCAATTTTGACTTTCGGCATTGTAAAAAAATAAATAAATAAAATGCTTCAATTGTCATTATCAAAACCAGAAAAAATTAAAACATCAACATTTTTACTTAAATCGATGGGCAAATAATAGAAAGAATGAATCACTTAAATCAATAATTCACAAAGATGTCAAAGCAATACTCCCAATTCGTTTTTGTTTGATGTATATGTGTATCAATTAGGAATTAGATTATTGAAGAATGAGGTACGGGAAAATAATTAGCCGTTTGATAAGAATAATTGTGGAAAATCAAAATTAATTGCTCATTAACATGTTATGGAAGAATAATCGTTTGAATTTGACTGAACATATTTTTTATTTTTTTTCCGTTGAAAATCCTTAAAAGGAAAAATAGGCAATACAAAGTTGTAGAAATTAATACGACAGGTTGAATAAAGAGAGGAAAATAATTTTGAAGAATTATAATGAGTGTGGTTCCCGTGATTTGCTGCACTATAGGGCGCTAGAAACAATAAGGCATTACAGATTTTTATTTTTAAAAAAATAGTATAGGAGAAAAAAAATTAAGCGATCTTAAAATTGGGACCTTGTGGAAAGGGGCACTTTGCACCCCTTATTCTAGGGGGGCTATGGAGAGAATGTTGATGTGGATAATGTTTTTGATGAAGTGCCTAGTGCTAATTGCAATTTGGATGATGTGCCTATTGAGAATGATAATAATGCAGAAAATATTAATGATATGCCTTGTGATAATGACAATGTTGATCACTATGAAACTATTTATATGCCTAATATATATGATCCAAGAGTTTGGGATGGTCGTGATTCTAAAATGATTGATTTATTAGCGAAAATGATTTTATTGTGAAGGGTCCTAAAGATAGATTTTCAAGATGATTTACACCCAACTTGTATACTAGAGTTCTATCAAACGATGAGAAATGTGATAGGGATTGGCTTGCTTATTCCAAAGAGCTTGGTATAGTATTGTTTTTGCTGTAAAATATTTTAAAAAGGAATTTAAAAAGGAATTGGCAGAGGACAATTAACAAATAAAGGATTTTGAGATTAAGGGCATGTAAGCTTTAGACTTTAAGAACATGACACATGCATAGATCATGTAAAGAATATGACTACTTGGTATGAGATGCGTCTTATGTTTCAAAAGTTTCAAACTATTAATAAGACGACTCAAATGCTATTTTCAGATGGGGGCATGTAAGCTTTAGACTTTAAGAACATGAGACATGCATAGATCATGTACAAAATATGACTACTTGGTATGAGTTATGTCTTATGTTTCAAAAGCATCAAACTATTAATAAGACGACTCAAATGCTAATTGAAAAAGAAAAAGACCATTGGAAGAAAGTGTTGCAAAGAATTGTTTCAATTGTCAAATTTCTTGCCAAGCATAATCTTGCCTTTCGTGGTTCAAATGGGAAACTAAACCAAAAAAGTAATGGTTCAAATGGGAAACTAAACCCCAAAAGTAATGGTAAATTTTTAGGCTTGGTTGAAAAGTTGCCCAAGTTTGACCCAACCCAATTATTGAAGAACATGTCAAGCGTATTACTAATAATGATATTCAATTTCATTATTTAGGTCATACAATTCAAAAGGAGTTAATACTTTCGCTTGGTTCAACAATAAAAAATGAAATCATGAGAGAGATAAAGCAAGCAAAATATTTCTTGATAAATCTTGATTGTACTCTTAATATTAACCATCAAGAGCAAATGTCATTGATGTTAAGAATGTGAATGTCTGTGCTTATGATATTTGAATTAAGGAATCTTTCTTAGAATTTTTTAATGTAAAAAATACAATTGGCCAAGGGCCTTTTGATGTTTTACAAAATGAATTAAAAAATCTTGATCTTGACATAATGGATGAGCGAGGAAAAGGCCAAGTTAATAGATCAATATGAAAGGAAAACATCAAGGAGTTCAAAAGAATTTTTTGGATTTAAATTCTAATGGTTTTTATACTCCTTGTGGTTGTCATAGTTTAAACTTGACATTATGTGATATGACTAACACATGTAATGAAGCTAGAGACTTTTTTTAGAAAACGTATATATACAATTTTTGCATCGCTACTATGAGATGGAAAATCTTTTAAATACAATGTAAAAGGATTAACGGTTAAGTCTTTCAAAAGAATTTTTTGGATTTAAATTCTAATGGTTTTTATACTCCTTGTGGTTGTCATAGTTTAAACTTGACATTATGTGATATGACTAACACATGTAATGAAGCTAGAGACTTTTTTTAGAAAACGTATATATACAATTTTTGCATCGCTACTATGAGATGGAAAATCTTTTAAATACAATGTAAAAGGATTAACGGTTAAGTCTTGGAGAAAAGTCGTGTTGAAAGTGTAAAGGCTATTAGGCTTCAAATGTCAGATATACGAGAAGCTTTACTTTAAGTAGCCGATAGTAATGATAAGGATTACAATATAAGAGTGAAGTCAAATCCTTAGCAATTAATGAGCTTAGTGATTTTGAGTTTTTAATTACAATAGTAATTTGGTATGAAATACTATGTGCAATTAATTTTTTAAGCAAGCTATTACAATTAAAGGATATGGATGTGGCTATCATTAAATAAGAGGGTTTTTTTTTTTTTTTTTTTAGGGGGTATAGAGAAACTGGTTTTTAAGATGCTTTGAATAGTGCTAAAGAAATTGCTATTGAAATGGATATTGATCCTATAATTCCCCAACAACGTAAAATTCGATGCATTAAATTACAAAAAATTACTTAAGTCAAAAATGGGTATTTGTGAAAAAAACATATTGATGAAAATCAAAGCACTTCATCAAATGCTCCTCTACCTATTAGTTCTCTATATAAAAGATTTGAGGAATATTAAAGTATTTTTGGTTTCTTATTCACTCCTCAAAAGTTTGAAATCCTCTTGTTTGAAATTTAAAAATGCATTTATGTCTAATGAAGAATCAGATAGATGGGAATGAATTATGTGTGGAGTTCAAGTTGCTTAAAGAAATTTGGGCGATGACATAAAAGGACCTATTGATATTTTGAGATTATTGAAAGATATGGACTGTTTTCCCAATGCAAATATTGCATATAGAATTTTGTTAACTATTTTTGTTATAGTTGCAACTACATAGAGAAGTTTTTCAAAATTGAAGCTATTGAAGTCATATCTTCGTTATACAATGCTACAAGAAAGACTTAATGGATTAGCGAAGATAGCAATTGAGAATGATATTCTAAAGAAAGTGGAATATGAATACTGGATTGATGATTTTGCCTCAAAGAGCGTTAGAAGAATATCACTTTTAAATAAATGGAAGTTAATATAAGTTAAGTCGATATAAGCTTTGAGTTGTATTTAGTTGCTATTATCAACATGAATAAAATACCTGAATTTGATTTTGCATGACTGAATACATCATTGTTATACGAAAGCATTTTATTTTGTAATGTACATATAGGGAAATTGTGCATTGCCAAATTATAGTAAAAAAAATTTACATAATTTTCACATTATTAAGGGCCTATTTTTCGATTTGAAACAGGGCCTCCAAAGTCATTGCTACGGCCCTGAAGTCATGTTGAGTTGACATAGTACGACAGGGCTAGGTGACAACTTTGTGCACATAGTTTAGACTATCATCACTTACATAAACTTAGATTAATTTGATTAACGATCTTTATATTTCCAGTACTGTAGGTGCTCATAGATAGGCCGTGCTAATTATAGTGTTGCATAATCACTTCATAAAATGAGTGTAACCAAAATGTTACTAAAAGATGACACAATCTTTCTCAAACAATTTTCCACTATAATCACAATGGTGACAGATTGTAGTCAAGCTGAGAAAGTGAGAGAACAAAAAGAAAAAATAAAAATAATATATATGATATGAACCTTTATATTGATATAAATGAAAAGGGACACTACTCAAATCAGCAATTCGAGTAAAGCAACACAGAGAATCAATAAAAAGGCTAAGACAGAAACCATAAAGTTTTCAAGTAGATTGAATTAATGACATCTGAATATCATCATTCTACAGTAAATGCACTTCACAATCAATAGCATACGTAACATATGACTAGAGCATTGATGAGCAGAAGAAATTGGCCCACAGAAGAAACCATTAATTTGCGTAAACCAGCACAGGGAGCTTATTATTACACAGGACAGTGAAGCTATATTATATCAGACACCAACAGAGATCAAATACATAATTGAAGTTTTTGGCTTATTACTCGTCATAAAACTTAAACTGTACATTGCTGGTTAACATTTGGTTCCTGAGCTTAGAAGTAAAAAAGTTTCAGAAACGACAAAAGCATAATGAAGCTGAGATGAGTCAGTACTTTTCGACTAATATCTGTAATTTGAAATAATCGCAGTTTTATAGCAAAGCTGCTGCCAGTAGCAAAGGAGTCGGAAACACAATTTATTTGAACAAAATAGTTCTTAGAATTTATGAGAACTTAGTGCAGCAGGAAGGGTATGATTTTGACAAACTTGACTATAGGGGGGCCTGGTTCTTTTGTGTCCTATTCTCCAATTAAAGAGGAAACTGGTTACAGGCTTCTAATATAGGACATGCTGTCAATTGGTATTTGCTATGAAATTTTTTTACCCATGACGCTATATTAAATGACCAATATGCCCTTGTTTTAATCTTTTGCTGAACTCACACCTCCCATTCTCCTCCTCCCACATTCACTTCAATCACTACCCACCACCCACATAAAATGCTACCATAATTTCCGACCATCTACACTCCAACTTCCAGTTGGTACTGTTCCAATGGGGACCAATACGGCAACGATGAGACATTGTTATGGGAGGGGAGGGGGCGATAAACCTTTGCCACAGTCCTATAATGTGAGTTATTTAATTTGGGGGTGGAATATGATGAGTGGAATAAATGCCCTCATTTTGCATTTCTCCGCACTTATCCTTCTTTTTCCTCTCTTTTTTTTAGTTTAATTTTTGCAACTTTTGGATCATTTCTTCTATTTTCCACCAATTTTCCTCATAGTCTCATACTTGCAGAATTATCATTACCCATACCTGTGCTTGGTGTGATTTGTTTTGTAGGAGAAAGGTAAACGAGAAAAAGGATGAGTGACAGTATCACAATAATATATACCATATTTAGGAGATATGTTAAGTATATGGTTGAGATATAATTTAGGGAGTCAAGCAGAGTTTAGGAAGGAATATCTTCTGTAATATTTGGCTTGCAGGGAAATATTTGTATATAAGGTGCATATGTGATTAATGAGAGCAGAAATAATGAAGGTGAAGTCTTATCAGATAGCCAATGATTAAAGCTTGGAGATACCATTAAGAGCCTATAGACTGAGAGGGCGCTTTTTTGCCTGAAACAAGTGTGAGTGGCCCTACTTCCTTCTATATTCTAGCAAGTAAATAAAGTTCAACTAAGAAGGCACTAAATAAAGGGATTTTTTTTTTGCTGATTCATTTGTAATTAGAAAGTATAAACAGAGAAATTTATTAATGCTATAATAACTTTCCAATTTCAGATATTTTGCATTGTTTAATTCAAGAAATAGAAGATTATAAAGAGAGAGAGCTTAATCAACATCTTTGAATTTCAAGATCAATCCAAATTTGTTTCGGTAATTCTCTTTCCCTTTACTTTAATCTTTCATTAATTAGCTTTATCATTACTTAATCTCATGACTATTAACTATATTCTTTAATTGCTTAATTTTAGCTTGAATTCTAGTAATATTCTAATCATAAACTCAAAATTATGTTTGATTGCTTAAATCTTAACAATTATTATATTGATAGCTAGTTTGATGATATTAGTTAGCTCAATTGTTCTCTCTTTTCTTAAGATCATGCTTATGTCCACTTCAATGAGTAGTAAAATCCTCGTTAGGGGTAGGGTAATGAATTAATGTAATTTAATAGGAAATATAAGTACATTTGTGCTTTATGTATGACTAATTTATAAGGAAGTAGTTAAATGAAGTATAACCACCTTGCTAATGTGATTTGGAGTACTAAGTCTTAAATAAGCGTGAGAGCGTAGGCTTGCCTTACTAATTACTTCTTCTGTTCCTTTAATATAGCAACTGTTTAAGGTAAAAATTACCCCAAAAACATGGACCAATCCCATAGTGACACGTGGCCCAATTAAAGGGCGTCGCGTGTCACTATAGGAAGATGACACTTATACAAGCCCTACAAACGGCACCTGAAAAAGAGAGGAGGCCCAAATCTTGAGAAAGCCGCAAAACGGCGCCCCTAAGGACATGTTTCCATGCCTGACTGCGCCACCAATCAGAAAGCGTCATTGTAGGGTAATAACCCTAAAAGGCACAAATCCCCACCCCTATAAATACTCCAATCATTTAAGATGGGGGGGGGGGGGGTTGTGATATAACATTCAATAGAGCATTAAAACAACTCCTAACTTCTCTCTATTTTCTCTCTCGAGCTTTTCCGTCTTCCGAGGCGAATATTCCGGCCACTAAATATTCGTGTTTTGTAGGTGTCCGGGCCGTCTATCCAAAGAACGCGACCAATGTCCCAAAATTACCCGAAACATTTGGCGACGTCTGTGGGGATACTCATCCGTTATGGCAATAGATGCTTGGACACCTAACCTGTTGAGGACGGACATGTGGAGGATATAGTCACAACGATCAATTCTAGTGATCCTCTAACTGCTTCATTTCATGAGGCCGAGGACTGCTGGTTAACTTAAGCTCGCCTTGAGCGAGCTTGAGGGTAAGATGCCTTCATCTTCTAGGCCGCCACCGAGAAGAGGAGGAGAGGGCACTTAAAAGAAGACCCAGAGAAAGGCGGCCAATGCCGAAGATGTTGGGAATACCTCCTTCAGATGACATAGAAGATCTCCCAGGATGTCTGAGATGAGGATGAGGCACACCAGAGAGCCTCAAAGGGAAGACCATGGACTCACTTCATTAATGTTAGGTTATCCTTAGTTTCCTAGTTTCCTTGTAGTATGCAGCTGAGTATTAGGAGGGTTGTATTGTGGAATAAGATAGAATGGTAACCTCAAGTTACTATGGAGAGTGATAGCCCCAAGCTATTAAGAAGAGTAGTAGCCTCGAGCTACCTTTTCTAAGCCATCAACCATTATTAATTAAACAACAAGCTTTCATCTTTATTTATTTGCCTTGACGAATCGGAAATACAAAGTCAGAAAATAAGACAATTACAGACATTTGTGGAGAAAGGGAGTCTATGGTCAAATCCACAATTTCAAATTCACTTACATCATGTAAAACCTATGAGTACTATTGAGACGGATCTTATCATTAAAGCAGCTGCTTACAAATAAAAAGACAGATAAAAATAAAAACTCAAGCAAGAAGATCAACAGTCTTCCTTGGATCTAGAGTGTATCCGCTCCACCTCTTCATCTACATTTTCACCTTCTAATTTTGTTGGATGACCTTTTTCCTTAGTCTTCCTTGGAAAAGGGGTTATTCTAGTGATTTTTTCTAGATCTCTTTGTGCCTTTTCAAAGGTTTCTTCCATCTTCTCTAAGAACATAGGAGATATCTCACTCATTTCCTTCTAACTTAGTCGCCTCAACCCAAAATATTGGAGCAGCCACTTCTTCAATTCTTCAATTCTTGTCAATCACGAAATGGTTGCCATCGTTTTTGCGTTCGAAAACCTGCAACGCCTTGCCACCAAGTCCAATAATGGAAACCTTTAATTTCACCCCCTCATTTAGTTGGAAAAATTGGAAAGTATCCTCAAGTTGAAGTACCCAGCTATCCAAATTCCTTCCATTAAACTCTGAAGCTCGCATCGAACTCTTAGTTCGTCATTCAAAATTGAAATTCCACGCTCTCTCTTGCTGGAGATGTAGTGAGTCCCTCCTGGATCCAATTTTGCATAAGTTGTGATGTCTCTCTTTCAGCAATAACAAACACCATTTTATTCTAAATCGTAGTGGTGGTTTCCCGCACCGGACAGCAGCCAGATTGACTGATATTACTCGATATAATAACTATACAACGAAGGAGAAAACTATGAAATTTGAGTAAACTAATTAATGGTTTCTTACAAACAATAGTAGTAGGTTTAGCCTACAAAGCTCCAAGCTCCAATAGTGACTTGAAGTCACAACTCTCCTTAGGAATCATTCCAAAATTCTGCCTACCTTCCTTCTCCTCCTCTCTACCTATTTATACTACTTAGCCAAATAGTACAGCTTTAATTACTAACTTTACTACCCCTTTGTCATCATCCCAATCGCCAACTAAGGGCTACAGCTTTAAGTTGTGGTTGCTTGGTGTGGTTGTACCTCTTGGTTGAGATAGTGTTCAGAGGTGTCCTTTGTCCTTTCCTCGGCTGGATATTGTTCGTATAAGCACATGTGGCTTGCTTTGATTCGTTACACATGATCATAGCAAATTTATAAGAATAATATATTCCTATACACTAAAAGCACAAATTGATACAGAACAACAAAATCAACAAATTCTAGCAATCGTAAAAGTCAATTTGTAATAAAATATCAGGATACCGCTCATGTTGTACATAAATTAAGTTATCAAGTTGCAACATAACATTAAACAACCAATATCCAAAATAAAAAAGAGCCTTAAGCAAGGTAATAACTGAGACATACCTGTTATGTGAGGACTTTACTTGGCGCCTCCTATATTTGATTTATTATCTGCAAAGATAGAAGAAAACAAAAAAGCATAAATAAGAATAAATAAGAAAAGGGAATATATTGTCTTCATCTTATTATAGTTATTCGCATTAATTACCAGCTAGCCGTGAACAAGAGTATATTTTTGCAAAAATATATGCAGTGTCATTGTTTCTTTCCCAAACTACCAACCTGCTTTTAGACACCAAACATATTTTTAGTCTCTAGCTTGTGGTGAATAATATCGTGAAGTCTTAGACTAACTAAACCATATGAAGTGTTCCATATGGTTTTTAAAAATTTCATCTCTGTTATACCTAAAAAAAGGAAAGCAAGTAGTATAAATAAAATAAAATAAATTAATTAATTTCCGTTCCATTCACTAAATCAATTGCCAAAAAAGTTGTCCAACAAAACAAATTAGAAAATTTTATCTCAGCTAATTCAAAAATAGCTTGAGAATAGATATGATGAGAAGTTACATACCAATTTATTTATTTTTAGAAAAAAATGAAGCTACATACCAATTGAGCCAAAAGACATCATACGGTCGATATTATCAAGACGATGTTGCACAGATCTCAAGACTGCGTTCAATGATGACACTCTTTTCCTGATATTAGAAAGCTTGGTGGCATGCTGCATAATAAATGGCAATGGTACATCCTCCAATAGCTGATCGAGCTCTACCAAGCCGAGAGCATCAGAAAAGACAGAATATTTATTAATATAAAAACTTCAAAACAAACAGCAGACCAACAAACAGAAGAAAATAAAAAGAAAATGAACCGAAAAAGAAAAAGAATGGTGCGTGCATGCTTATACTATATAAAATTAATGCAAAAGAAATGACCCATCAAACACGAAATTGCTCTGGTATAAGTTTCGCTAATCAAACCCTTAAGTCATCTAAAATTATTACTAGGGATGATTGTCAAAGCCTCCCATATATATAGTATTATATTTAGATGACAACTACGAAGCACATGTTTGAATAACTATTTTAGAAGTCCAAAAACATGAGCTTTGCTAGCATTTAAAATAATTCGTCAAATGCTCCGACAATTGACCCATAGTCTCATCATGCTCCCTGACCTCCACCAACCCATTACCGTGTTCCTCTACTGCAGCCACCATCACCAACTGCCCACCACCAGTCATTGACGTCAGTCCCAACCACCACTTTAATTATAAATTAAAACACCACCACAGTGACCCAGACTAGGACTCATATTTGAATAATCCTAACTTCAACCCTACAACCGGCCAAAATTCTGATTCAATCTGACACCGACTCAGACTCTCAATTTTGTTTCGACCGAATATGTTTCATTTTTATTAACAAAAAATAATACTACCTCCATTTTTTATTAGTTGACACGTTTTGACTTTAACACTATTCACTCACTTACCTTTGACCATATATTGTGATGTATACGGAATAAAAAATATGTTCATGAGATATCTTGTTCGATTCGTCATGATATGTATTTTCAAAGTATCAAATTTTTATGATTTTTGTCTATCGGTACTTAAAAATATTAATCGTTGAATTTGTGCATTGACAAACGTGACTAAAGAAACGTGTCAACTAAAAAGAAACGATGAAGTAATAAAATAAAATAATCTAAAACAACTAATCTAATGATCCTTACTATATTTATAGGAGTCATTTGGTAGTGCTACAAACTAACAAAATTTTAACAAAATACATAATCAACATCAGAGGCCAATTAAATTGTAAATATATGATAAAAAGTATACATGTACAAATTCGGACTCGGATTGGATAACTCGGAGTTGGATTTCTAGAAATGAAGAAGAATTCGGATTTATTTCAGATTTGGCTTAAAAAAAAAATTCTTTGAATCTGGGCAAGATTGCCATCACTACCCATGACCCTAATCCTAACATGTCATGTCATGTCAGATTATCAGGAGGAGTATGCCAAAGGTATAGCAAGGGCCAGGGGAGGAGGGGTTGAACAATTGCTGGAGAATGGAGGGAAGAGGGACAGCAATCCGAGGAAGGGAGCTAAAGACTCACGTATCATCAAGAGAAGGGTGCGGAAGGAAGGAAGCTCACCAAAGGATAGAGAAGGGTGAAGGGAGGAGAAGGGAACACTTGGTAGAAAGGCTGAAAGGGAGAGGGAAGTCGCCAAAGGAGGGAAAGTCGAGAAGGGGGATGTGATGCATCCTATCAGAGCACCACCCTTGATGACGTATACTAGACATAGGGCCAGCAGAAAGAAATCATTTAAGAATGTGTGGGGTGACAAAAGAGACAAAGAGTAATCAGGGTAGTTGGGATTCAAAGACTGCTGATAACAGGCAGTGAGGATAGCAGAATAAAAAGGGAAGGGGAGGGTAACAGTAGGGGTATTGAGAATTGAGTACTAGTTGCTTGAGTGAGTGAAGACTCTCAAATTCCTTATAGTAATTACCCAATCATCATCTTCCTCTCCTTGATTTCAGCGTCTATCAATTAATAAATTAATTTGTGATTAATCTGCATCTAGGTGCATTGCAACTTACAAGTGGTATTGGAGCAAATTTATCAATGGCTCCCCCACCTCCACGCAGCGGCTAGACAGACTTGAACTGAAGCAGACGCCCTAGAAAACTTTTGTGGTGACAACAGTGGACTGTGCAATGGTCAGGCTATAGAATGGAGGATAAAAACCAGTGAGTTCTTGATCCAGATACAACCTAGTACTAAAAAAGGGTGCATCACAAGCAAAGCAGCAGTGCAGCACACTGAAAAAACCAACAAAAACTAACTGTACAAATTATACAGTTAATTAGTTATTTTCTCAAACCATTTCACAATCTTTACTTCCTATCTTCCTAGAGACAATACCTAGGATTCTATTTCTAATCTCAAATTTTATATTCATACAATAGTATGTAGACATAGGACTTTTAAGTCCCATTTCTAGCTTTCTAAATCTGATACACAATTGCCAAAATGCAGGTTTTATACACTCATAGAAAACTAGTTTTTAGTTTTCTAGCTATTTTACTTGTTGTATTCAAGTTCTTGAGCTTGATACTAATACCTGGCCATTTATGTATCTGCTCCCAAATTTTTAGGCTATTAGAGCAGTCAAAATTAAGTGATCATAATTCTCAGCAACATCCACACATAGCAGGCTAAATGTATCAGTAGCAGCCCTAAACTTTAGCAGTCTGTCTCTGGTTAGTAATCTCTGCTCCTAATCTCTAGTTTGATGAAAAGAACATGACCACACCCAACAGAGCAATGGGAGGTAAGGATCAACTATCGTGATTTTTTTTTTTTTTTATTAAAGGGAGAAAGTATCTAGAGCAACAGCAACAGGGGAACTAGTCACCACCCACCAGGGAGAATATACAAATGGGGGTATTGAGTCTGGCAGAACCTAGGAGAGGCTTTGAGCACTCCATAGTCCATACTTCTCAAAAGGGAAGCAATCTAGTAGGGGTGAGGCCACACCATTACCCACAATTTCAAAAAGAAAAGATTGAAAAATTGATATATAAATGAGAGAAGCTTGAATCATAACAAAAACCCTTTAAGTTTGTCTATTACAAAGTATTATATTATGAAGGATCTCTAATATCATGTTTTATAACTCGAGATAAAACCTTGAATTGTTGCGATTTTTCAGATTGTGTTGTAGTCCAATTTATATGAATAACGTGGCAGGCAATGAGGATAATGAGCAAACTCGCACCCAACTCTTAAAGAAACATTGGTCACCATCAATTCAATGGTCAGTAGTTGAGCACAGTCCATAATTTAGTGGCAGTGGGCAAGTACAAGAATACGTAGAGGCAGGCACGAGAAAGGGTGGTTGGTGATGGTTGTGGCACTGAGTAGAAATGTGATGAAGCAATAGGGGCTTGGTAGGGGTGCAAAGGTAGTGATTGCTGTTCATTTTACCTGTTTGCTAATTACTCGTAAAACCCAAAGGGAAAGAGTGAAGTCATATGAGCCAGAGGATCTATGAAAATTGGATAGTACCCCGATAAATAAAAAAAAAAGGCGGAAATAACATAATTTGGTTGAACAAAGAACATACGAGTACCTATATATGTTTGATAATATTTTCTTTTATACTTTTTTTTTTTTTTGTGGGCTTATACTTATGTTATTTAACATATTGATTAAACATGTTTTTTGAGTTTCAATAATACAAAGTATGTTCTTTGAATTTGGCTCGTATGTTCCTTAAGATAATGAGTGACGCACACATTGTATTTTTTATATATTATCATATATATTAAATTAATTTTATTATCGTATGTTCTTTGAGTTTGATCAGTGTGTTCTTTAGGTATGAACTATATATTCTTTACCTTATAACTTATGTTCTTGTAACATATATGATTTTGAGTTTTAAAATTTGAAATTTAATTTGAAAATGAAATCTTGAAATATTTTTAGTTGTAAATAATTTTTGAGGGTGAAAACTAAAATTAATATAGAAAATTGAATTTTTAGAGAGAGAAAAAACTATTTTTGGGAAAATGATATCTTTTGTAAAAAAAAAAAAAAAATTCTGTTAATGTATAATTTTTAATAAAGTTTTTATTACGTTATTTTTGTAATGTCTTTATGTTCTTTGACAATGCATGTTCTTTGTCAAACACAAATATGTTCATTGTCAAACACTTATATATTCTTTTTCAAACACTTATATTTATAACTATGGTGCACCCTGCACCAGGCATTATCACACAATTCTTCTAATTAAGAATGACAGGCTTAACATCAGAATTAGTCATTTTAATTACCGATTGAATTTGAAAGCAGAATATACCAAAAACACTGAAGCATAATTCGTATTTTACAAACCAGAAACTGATTCTCTAACAATAATCAACCAAAAAAAAAAACAGAAATTTCGAATTAAACAAATTTAACACTACGATAAAGCATAATTTAAATTACCATAAAACAAATTAAAACGAAGGAAATTGTAGTAAGTGATTGAAAAAATTACCAGAAGTAAGACGATCAAGAGCAGAAAAGAGGTGAGTTTGGCTTCGAGAAGCATCTTCAGCCTTGGAATCAAAATCCCTAATAATAGTAGCAATCATTGTAGAAATGCCTTCAGCTAGAGCTTCTGAACTACCCGTGATTTTATCATCATTTGCAATATCATCTTCATTTTCAGGCGAATTTCTTAAACTGGAATCATTTGTTGGTGCATTTCCAATTGAATTTGTGTCGGAATTCGACATTATTTGCTCGGTTTTGGTCAAATACAGTGATACGCTGAACGAAAAGGGGAGAATATATTGTGCGCTTGAATTACGCAAGAAAGTGTTTTTGGTTCCGGTGAGGCATCTCCGGACAGTCCATTAACTTCTTTATGGCAAAAATAAGGAGATGTTTGGTTGGAGTGCATCTAAGCGCATAGGAGCTATTTACAATCTTTGTAAATAGGAGGGTACAGGGGTAATTTGGCTAGCTGAGTCAATAAAATGCAATTTGTTTTCTTTTATTTATAGTGTTGACTTTAATATTAACTCCGTTATATTTTGAGATGTAACGAAACATTTGAAAATGTCCTTTTAACTTTTGTTTAACTTTCTCTCTCTTTCATTTAGTTATTTCTCTCTCTTCTAACTTATTTGTGACTCTTAAAGTTCTCTGGTTTATTCTCTTCTCCTCTGTCATCCTTCGTATTTTGGGCTTCATCAAAGCATACCGCCGGGTTTTGTTAAGTGAAGTGAAGTAGTGAATTCCTGTCTTGTTAGGTAAGTCGTTGAATTTTGCATTTTCTGGGCTTTGTTGAATTTATGTGGGTGTTTAACTTGGTTGGTGGTAGGATGTGAGTTAGTATGATTTTGTGTTTGCGAGTGGTTTTGATGTCATTTTTGGTGAAATTGAGTAGAATTTAATGTTATTTGCGATCTATTACCTTTTAATTTTCGAAAAAGCAAGTCAGTTAGGGTTTGTGTGTAGTGGTGTTAATCTTGATTCCGTGAATGTCAATTGTGGCGAAATCGTTTAGTGTATAATGGTTTTTCCGTATTATTACCTTCTAACTTTGGGAAAATCTAGTCACCTAGTGTTTGTGATTAGGGTGTAACTCAAAAAAATTGAATTGTGCTATGGATGTTAGATGAATGCGTGTTATACTGTGTTATTTAGTTATTCATGTATGAGGAGGTTGAAACCTTTAAGTAGTTGTTTATACATTGAATGAATGTCGAGTATTGTAAATTATGGGCTTATGAGTAGGGTAATGATGTCCTCCCTTTTCCTGGATTTTGGTCTTAGCTGTTTTCCAAACATTTTTTAAGGTATTGTTGAAGTTAGGATGTAATCACTGTGTAAATAGTTTATTGATTCCATTGGTTGTATGAAATTGGATGATTAAGTGCTTGTGTTAACATGGAAGGATTGGATAATGACTAAGAGGAAATGTTCTGAAGCCGGTGGAAGTGGTGTTGGTGGTAGAAAGGATGTGGTGAGTTGATGTGCTCGTGTTGACTGTGTTTTTTGTTTGTTTATGGTTTTTGTAATTTTGTGTTAACACTGCTGTCTATTCTGAAATTTTTTGGGTTGTAGGGGAAATCAGTGAAGGTGAATGATGGGGTTAAACCCAAAGGTGCTAACAAAGGCAAGAAGAAGGTAAATTTTGATCATGATCCTGATTTTGAGCAAGAGGAATTGGAGGATTCCAGTAGTGGGGACGGTTATGAAGATAAACGATCTGAAGAGGATGATTCAGAGTCATCAGATGGTGAGGGAGAGGATGGTGAGGGTGATGAACAAGAGGATGATACTCCTTCTTCTGCTCAAAATAACAAGTGGTAGGAACTATGTATGCAGTTGCTGCAGGAACGACTTCAAAATGCAAAGAGGAAGGGTGGTAAATCAGTAAACAAAGCAGCCAAAAAGGCAAAGGTAATGGTTGTGATTCTTGTTGTATGCATAGTGTGTAAGTTTTGTGTAGTTAATTCATGGTAAAATCCTTCTTATGTTCAGAAAAACCGAGGTGATGTAGTGAAGGAGGAAGAGCTGGTTGTTAAAACCCAATCTAGAAGGACTCAGAAGGTAATGTATCTAATCTGTATTGACTCATGTGTTGGTGTAAGTACACTTAGGGAATGAATGATACATTTGAGGTAGTTGGAATGTACCATTAGTGTACTCAGTGGTGTTTTTTTATTAACATATTGTTGAATGTGATTCCAAGTAATAATATTGTTGAAAGTGATTCCAATTAGTCAGTGGTGTTTTTTGATTAAAATAATGTTGAAAATGATTCCAAGTAATACTAATGGATAAAGAAATGTATTGTACAACCAATACTAAATTGATAGTGGATTTATTACATGCAATGTTATGACTAGCTTAGATATGTTACTTGAATAGGTTTAAGTTGTTTATGCATTTGAGGTAATCATGTGAAATTAAATTAAATGTACCACCATTATTAAAGTGATAGTGTATTGAGGTATTAGGACAAGCTTAGATATGTATCTGGTATGAGATCAATTTGATTATGCATCTGTTTTGTATTGTGTAGGCCTTTAATCTGAATGGTGTAAAGGCATTTGGAAGTTTGGTTAAGCCGTTTGATCATACGCGGAAGGATTTGGTCAATGAAATGGGGTTTGGTGGGCTGTTAAGCATGCCACTGGAATATTTGCCTCGTAAATTTGCTTACTGGCTGTTGTCAAGGGTTGATGGAGATGGTTCCATGGTATTTGGAGATGAGTATGTATGCCCTCTGTGTTCAGCTCAGGTGGAGTGGGTGCTTGGTATACCCAAGGGTTCCAAGCCAGTTCCATCTACCATTTCGGATGATGATGAAGTGATGAAAGCTGAAATGAAACGTATTTCTGGACTTTTTGGCAAGCTTGGGGAGAGCATTCCTGTGGCAGCAGCTGCGGCTGCGGTGGTTCGTATTGATAAAAAAGGGAAGTTGTTGCCTATTAAAACAGACAAGGAGAAGGCTGAGTTTAAGATTGCATTTCTGGTTGTTGCTCTTAGGTACATACTGTGTACCACAACAAATTCATCAAATCTGGCTGTTTCTCTAGGACTTGCTTTAACTGTTTATAATGATGCTGTGAACTATGATTGGTGCACTTTGACTCATTCTTGGTTGTGCACAGCAGCAAGGAAGTTCCAGAAGAAATTTACTGAAAAGGCTATGTTGCAGGCTCTGGAGGCTGCATTTTGTCTGTGCTGGTAAGTGACAGGGTAAAGTCGTATCCCCAAATAAAAAGTAATACCTAAATCCTCTAACTAATGTAGATAGGGAAGTAGGGTCGAATCCACAGAGAAACGGATCTTTCTATTCCTAATTAACTAAAATAATCTAGATTATGAAGCAACCAATATTTATATTTGAATAAGAAACTAAACTACTAAGATTGAGAATAGGGAGAAAACAATATATAAAAGGATCTAGGGCATAGGTTCACCAATAAATAATACTCCAGGGTAAAACATAATAATCAATCATTGACATTGCATAAATAGCATGATTAACAGGCTCTCGCAATTTATTAACCAACATAGATCTAACAGGCTCTCACAATTTACTAGATCTAAGTTCCTATTGAAAATAGCCTTTAATATCAAATTAACATCTGATCGATTCATTAATTCAATATTGATATACTTTTACAAGCCGCAATTGTAAAGCGTTAAAACAATTCAATAAGAAATTATCATGCAATACCAATAATCAATAATAGTCAATCATCAATGCGTCAATTAACCAGATTGTAAAGGGCCTTCGCTACGTATTACAATCACACAATTAATTTACCGGTATTAAATCTCATCTCTCGAATCTCGACTTAACCATTTATAAATTAATCTGCCTATTGAAACTAGACCTAAACATTAATTCTCATATGTCGAATCTCGAATCAATGTTGTCAAACTCATGCATAAAAGATCAGGCCTAATCTAGTCACAGAGCATTAAATCAATCAATAGGAAATTAATCTAGCATTGATAATTAACAACAATAAATTACCCATTCATATTATTTATTAGATCCCCATAAACCCTAGAAATTAAACTACTCACAAATCATCATGACTAAACTAATCAAATAAATAAATAAAAGCATAATCAAGGAAGCAAATAAAATAACTGGAGTTAAAGGGGAAGAAATTGTTACCAAAAAGTAATCTGGAATTAATGGAAGAGTTAAGAACAAAAGTTGAGAGAAAAGATTCTAAGAGAATAATTAACAGAGTAAAGAAAGAGTAAAGAGAGGAAGAAGAGATCCTAAAATCGTATTACGGAGGAGTATTTATACTCCGTACAAAATCCTAAACTAAAACAAATTTAAAACGACGCTAATCGTCTACTAAGAAATACACGCGCCCGATTGGGCGAGGCACCGCCCGATCGGGCGCACCTTTTTTTGCTCTCTAATACTAAACTCGCGCCCGGCCGGGCGCGTCACTGGGCGCCAGCCTAAGCTTCTCCCACCCGGCCGGGCGCGCCTCCGGGCGCCAGCCTTTTTGGCCGGGCGGCTCATTTGGGCCAATATTTGGACTTCGATTGGGCTCCAATTCTTCGGGCCAATCTGGATTTCCTCTTCCGGTCTTGAATACTGGGTCCAAATGCCCCGGTATCACCTCTACCGAGCCCTTAATCACCGGTTCGATGGCTCTAACCGGCCCTGGGTTATAAAATCTGGTCGTGCTTCTCCAATGCTCGTGATTGCTCCAAAATATCTTGGGAAAATACTCCAAAAGCATAAATCCCTGCAAAAGTCAACCAAATCTATGAAAACACTAGAAAACACCAATTAGTAATAAAAGTGGCTCTAAAGAGCCAAAAACAATTCTAATTATGACCAAGGGACAGGGGTAAAATACTATATAAAATACACACATCAGTTAGCAATGTGGTACTGTATCTTATAAATCGTAGTTGATTAATGTTTTAGATTGTTACAAGTTAAGGGATTGTTTATTATTAGTTGTTGACAAAATCTTTAATGCATTCATGTTGTAATCCCATGTTGTAGATCTTTTATATTGACCATCTAGATCGGGTACCCAAGTCTTGGGGACTGACTCCGAGGTTGGCGGCATGGTCACAGGAAGAAATTAACAAAGTTGTCCAAGATGATAAAAAGAAGACGGGGGACTATCGTCTGTCGCTGGTTAGTGTTAAAATCATTGTTCTGTTACATGACATCAGTGTTTATTGTGTAGTTGTGTATTCATTTGATTAAGTTTGTTTGCTGTGCAGTCAGTGAATATTGCCTATGGGGAGGAGCATCCGCTAACACCCCGTGACAGTCCAGTGGTAGCTCCTGCACCTGCACCTGCACTTGCTGTTGATGTGGATGGGACCACTGAGCAGGTCTAGAATGAATTAGATGGCTTTTTGTTCTACGTTATAGTTCGATA